CAGCAGGTATTCCTGCCTCTGACTAGATTTACGGGAGGCTATAGCCTTACAGCGCTAGCATTCAGATATCTGACCCTGACTAGGTCCTGCGGAGGTCATAGGAGCATTTTCGCGCTGGTAGTTATACCTGATACCAGGTCCTGCGGATCATCATCATCGTCATTATTATTATTATGACCCGAATAACAGCTCAAGGTTAAGCTAGAAGAAGGGGGACGCTTGTGTCAGACAGAAATGGGCTAATGTCACACGGTTACACAAGGGCTACGGTCACGGGATCAGGGCAGAAGGTCCTCACCGACTTCTTGTATCAATAGACATCTTCGGTCCCTCGAGGCCTTGAGGAAAACCAAGGACCTTTGATACCAAAGACTGTTATTAGATGAATTGAGTAAATGCTCTAAGCCTCTAGCCCTTGTCACAAATAACAGTCTTTGGTATCAAAGGTCCTTGGTTTTCCTCAAGGCCTCGAGGGACCGAAGATGTCTATTGATACAAGAAGTCGGTGAGGACCTTCTGCCCTAATCCCGTGACCGTAGCCCTCGTGTAACCGGCCTTTTCCGTGTGACAACGAGAATGCCAAGAGAGCAGAGGCAGCATGTTTTCTTTCATCACTTACGCCAATTAGCGGAACTAGAAACGGCACTAGAGTTGCTATACAAACATCTTGGCCATCTCCGGTCACTTGATTATCTTTGATAAGCCAGAGCCTGCGATTTTATGCACCAGCTGCGGCCTTGCACTTTGACGACAGAAAAGTCGACCTGCCAGGTCAAATATAGGCATCAGTACATATTGTATCTAGGAGCCCACTTTGTGGTGTATATTTGAGAATGATTTGAAAGGCCCTCTGTAACCTTGCCAATTAGACTCGCGAAAGAGGACTAATCCTGAGCAACTTGGCCTTTTTGTAGTCTTTGCTAGAAGAAGCAGGCGAATGCTCAGTAATCCAGTGCCGCCCACATTACAGAATGATATCGACTGCATTTTGGTGTTTCAAAAAGCAAGGCCAATAAAAACTTGGGAAACTTCAGGGATCCATTCGTATACTTTATGTACGACGTTATAAATAGACCTGAGCCGGGCAGAGCCGGTGTGCCTGAACTAGTGATGCAGCTTGTACAACAGACCTGGACAGTTGCATCCGACGGCAATAATAATGTACTCAACGGCTGAAAAAAAGAAGAAAAAAATAAAGTTGTTCTTTGTCAGCTGAGGAAACGGATTACCACGCTTGGCGAGGTCAAAACGTGCGGTTGCGTGGATCTGATAAGCCGTGCGCAGCCTCATGTCTGCGCGTCGAATTGTTTGGTACCTGAAAGTGAATTACTAGTCTTGGACTAGCGGCCACGTTGTCACACCCCAGGGTACATTTCTAGTACAAATATCTGGTGGCGATTGTCCTCATCGAGAATGTGCTCATGGAACTACATGAATTGCTCACTGACACAGCGCCGGGCTGGATCTAAACGCCATTACGCTGCTGACTCAATCTATGGCATTAAACGAAGAGGAAAGGCAGCAGCTGTGGCCATGTCGGGTATTTTGGTGTTGTTTCCCACCAGACGCAATTACTCCATAGAAAGATGTAGCAACAGGGGTGTGAGCGTATGAATTCATGGGTCACTACAGCTCCCATCAGACTTACTCCTGCGCCCCGAGCAAAAAACGCTGCGGCCCGAGCAATTCAGGTCGGATACTACGGAGCAATGTGGGCAGTTATACGAATTGACACGACTTTGCCGGTCTTGCGTACGCTCTGACTCTATTTTGCAAATTTGCCAGCTTCCTCATCCGAACTAGTGTCATGACATCAACCTTCTTTGGAACCAAACAAGTCTGCCCCTTGCAAATTGGATACGAACGTCTTTGAAAGGGGGGCCTCGGCTTTGCTCCGTGCTCCCGCCGATATTACTTAAAGATGAATCGTGATCCGTAGAATGTCGGTGTTTGCCGACATGCATTTCTCCTTGTTCTACAGAGAAACATGATGCGCTCCGTCATACTCGGGCTGCCCCTTGTGGCGCTCGCCCTGGCCACTCCCGTGTCGAACAGCATCGCCAACGTCGACAGGACACCGGACGATGTAGCGAAGGTTCTTGAGCGGGGGGCTGCGGGAGACTTCTTCAAAGATGTCACCGGGATAATCAAGATCCTGGAAAAGGGTCTTCCTCCAGACATCCCGAGCGAAGCGGCTGCGATAGCGGCCGTCCTCGAACAGGGTCCTCCTCGAACACAAGGTCGCGCTCCTTGGTACTTTTTTTGAAAATTTGCATCGCACTAATATCGCCTAGTTTCCTCCGACGTGTATGAGAAACTGAGTTACTACGCGCAATTTCCAGGATCTGCAACGGCATGCGTCCACAAGCCTGCGGAAGGCGTCGTCGAGCAGCTTTACGTCAATGAAACCACCACCGACACCCAGGCTATGATTTACCGACTCGATTCCAGAAAGGAGTTGATTCTAGCTATTCCAGGAACCCAAAGCCAACAGGACTGGGAGACGAATGAAAACTGGCGTCTGGTTGACTACAAGTCCTGCAAGTCCTGCAAAGCGCATCACGGGTTCTTAACTGCCTGGGATTCAATCGTCGACGAGGTGGAGCGCGGGTTGGAGTCGGCTCTGCACTCATATCCAGGCTACTCGGTCACCATCGTGGGCCACAGCCTCGGAGGCGCCCTCGCGGAGCTTGCCTTTGGCAGCTTGAAGCCAAAGCCGTTGAATGTCACGCAGGTCATCACCTATGGCGCGCCGAGGGTCGGGAACGCCGGGTTCGCCGATTACCTTGACAAGCTGGCGGGCGCGTCAAACTCGAATGCCGGCATTTCGTATCGTGTGACGCACTATGATGGTAAGTGCTGGCCGCGCACAAGACGTGCAAACCAGCGCTTGGCTGCCTGTCCAATACGGCAGAATAGTAGTGCTGACTTGTAGTAGACATTATTACACACTTGCCCCCTTTCTTTCTTGGGTTTACTCATCCCAGGACCGAGTACTGGCAGTCTGCTGATAAGCCCGCCGAAGCCACGACGTATAAGTGCAACAGCCGCGAGTCGCTGGACTGCATCTTTGGCAAGGCGCCATCATCAAATTCAGATGCACATGGCACTTATGCTGGAATGAAGGTTTTTTGCTAAGGACTTGATCTGTCGTTTGGACGCAAGAAGGCGTCGAGTCTATTGTTTTTCTGGAATCGCACATACCTCGGCCACCCGCGTGTATCTACCGTCCTTGTCTCTTGATGTACTTGGACAAATTTTTCCAAGGAGGGCATTCATAGTCGTCAAGACCGTCATTGTCTAGCCGCTACGCGGTTTGAACATCTTTCGGCTCAGCTGTCCAAGTCAAGGCTTGTATATATTATGAGATATTGGTTTTACGGCGAACCGTTTGTCCTCAAAGAAGTGTGTCTCGCGTTGTGCTCAGGTCTTGGGACACTCTGCTTGCTTTCGGCGCTTGCTTATTAGAATAATGATGGTGACTGTTCGATGTACTAACGTCTACCATGTGATCCCATTTTTGGCAGCGCCAGCAAAAAGGCACGCCCTTGGTGCCAGCGCTCTCTGCGTTATTGTCAGAGTGGTGGCTGGGTTTGACCCTTGAGCCATGGAGACAAAATATCCTGTAATACCGGTCCATGGCTGTATATCCCCCATATCCATATTATTAGGGTGCACATCTTGGCTCTCTCTCTATGGTGGCCTTTGACAGTTATCGTACATCTCCCAATAACCGCAATCTCACCAGCCACCCCAGCCAGGGCGTTTGTTCTTATCGCGCTTATATTTTGTGAGAACTCAATTTGGAGCCACATGTGGTAAATAAGCCGTTTTGTCCTGTGGAACGACATACGGATTCGGAGTCATCGGGACAAAGTACTCGCGGCTATTAATACCTTGCATAAATTCTTTTAAATACAACTCTCTTGAACGCCAGGGTCCCAGAAAATTCCGACTCCCTCCGAATAGCAGCCCTTTTTCACCACCCAACAACCCTCAATCTTTGGTGCCAATGTCAAAGATGACGTCAAGTCGCAGGCGAAAAGCGTCGGGAATCCGGGATAAGGATGCCGGCAGTCGGTGACCCACCACGGCAAGGACCCGGGCGCCATACCAGATCTGGACTGGCGCCAGGCCCGGCCAGCCGGAGTTGTCCAGTTGTTGGGATGACTTACAAAGCATAGGACGCCTTCCTGTCAGGCCATGACTCTTACGGCATACCGGACAATAGCCTGACAGAGCAGTGCTAGAAAATGAGGCTCAATCAAGGCGTTGACTATGTGGATTAAGAAAGAAGGCGACTTCTGAGAGCAGCTATTCTAATACCCCATGGCCTGCTGTTGCATCACTGCCCACACATTTCAGCCGCACGACTGTCATGAATAATAACCGCTGGAATTGCCGTTGGACTGGAATCAAGTCTCTCATTATGCTTCCTTGCCAAATGGCTTCGAAGGCTTCGACTTGTCGTGCCCGATGAAGAAATACTGTTTGGCGGTACGCCGCCGAACCTTCAACCTCGATGCAACGGCAAGCTCCCCAAGATCAGAGGAGCAAAATTCATATGAAGCGTAGATGAAATTATTACACGGGTATTTTGGGGGATTTCTGGTGTTGTTCCTGGTGCCGCCCATATCCGCTACTTGGACCTTTAGATGCGAGCGCTCACGCCACAACGCTAGCAACTTGTTCTCTGGCCCTCCTGTATCCTTAAAACCTTATTCGTAAGCATAAAAATGATGTTCATGGCACGGCAATGGAAGAAGCGACGTGCTGTGAAATAACAGACTACTTCGTCGCTGGAGATGGTCCATGCATGAGCTGTTCTATTTTTGCAAGTCTTCTTGAGCCGGAGCCATGTCCCCAAGTGCGGAGTATTTAAAAGAAACCAGCCATCTTGTGAATCTCAATTGCTACATTCCTCTCTCTAATGGGGCCACTCTGAATAATAATCAAGAGTAGCCGCAACCTGTCAACTTTTCATTCGCCATCAAGAAAAGATGCGTGAGTACAGCCAGACGAAGCCATCGGTTTACTTCGGCACAACTAATCCATCATCGTATCTAGTTCTGTTCCTAAACGAGGCGAGACGGAGATGGATAACCAGCAACGACCGTATGAAAGGTTTCCCCGTATACATCCCACCTGCTGAGGTGCGGCGTCTTTGCCTACAGCTTCTTAAACAGTACGCCAGTGGGGATGTACCAGGAGATTTTTATTTACGCCACGTCGTTCTCTCAGTGGACAACAGCGGAAAACACAGCCTCGAGTGCTTTGGCTCATCAAAGTACCTGCTTGATTGCACGGAAGAAGCTCCGGGACCGGCGTACGAGCTCAAGGGTCTACTGGAACTTCCCCTCTGCCTGGCGTCTCAGTACTGCCAGAATGACGTCTTTGACTGGCAGCAAAATCCTATTCCTTGGGAGAAGCGAAGGGTGCTGGACCCTGATTATCTCGCGAGAGTAATTGATCACATGCAGCGAAATCGCTTTCTGACAGTGGACTAAGTGGAACATTTGCTCGACACGCTGCTAGAGGAGCTGTTGGTGCCTGGGGATTGGAGGCTGCGGTCGGGAGTAGTTCCATGGCAAACCATGTGAATTGGTGGCTGAAAAAGGGACCCAGGTTGCTTTTGAAGTCTGCGGTGACTTTAGATTCTACGCCATTCATTTCGGAAAAGGACTCATATCATTCCGCTGTCTGAATGCTCTCGAATCCTTGTGACCTACAGGCAGGACAATACGCTAAGTTACGTTATTTGGTAGTTTGTTCCTTTATTGAATCTTTGCGTGTTTCTTAAACGACGTGTTATAACTATAATAGCTGAGATGACGCAGAAATTTATTAAACTCTTTATTCAGGATGCCGTGCTCGTAAGAGAGTAGTATATAAGCTGAATACAACCCCAAATCACCTTTGGATACTCGCAAAGTCCTCTATTACAACTATATATACGCATAAGCTGTGGTTTTGGCTCTTTCTGGCGCTCAATAAAGGCGGTCCCAAACGAAAACTAACCCAGCACATCTCTACAATGCTTCATACCTAATGTTGTCGAGTCAAAAAGGTGGCGATTGAAGGTTGGTGGCTACGATGTTTGCTTTTTTAGAGCTCAAATTAGGGCTTCAATTGGATGGCGAGTCACGGCAGAGGTCCTCAGGGCTCCAGCAGGGTCAACATAAAACGGTCAAGTTCCCTGGTTTTCAGGGCTCTCAACCACGTGCCGCAGTCATCATCAATATCGGAAAATTCGCTCAATCAAGGTGCTCGCAAGTCTCTTAAAATTACTCTACTCCGCTGGGTAAATTGCTGTTGTTTCCCCAACAAGAATAGGATACTCCGTCGTAGGTGGAGGCCGGGATGTTGGGACTTGCCTCGAAAGCTGAATTGCTTCGAAACATTGCCGCCCTTGGGGCTGAAGATGTAGGTGTTAAACCCATTTTATTAGCAATTCAACGAATGTTGGAGGCATTTTTGAGGTATTCTAGGATTGGAAATTCCAAGCATATAGCCTTCAATACAAACTATCAGAACAAAAACGACATTATATGGGAAAAAGATGTGTAGCGTCATCATCATCGATTTCCATCTCCGATGAGGATTAAATGCCAAGGATGAGCGTCTACTGATGAGTACATCGTCAGCGCCACTATGTACACCTGCTGGCCGCTCTTGTAAAACTGTTCTGTCGCGGCACAACAGCAGGAGACAAAAAGCTATTGTCGACTCCAACGTCCCCCCCCCCAAGAGTCGCAGTTTCCTTTTTCTCAAAATCTTGTACATCACTGCCTCTCGTCTTCCTTTTGTTTCATTGTGGCTGTTACTCAAGCATGTCAAGTCTCTGAGCACGTGGTTTCCAGCTGGTCATGTAAAGCGCGATCTCCGGCGAGTCACTGCCAGTCAAACCCAACTTGACTTTCAAGCTGCAAATAATTCCATTCTCATTGAACATCTATTGACTGGGGGCTGAATCGGATCGCCAGACACGACTTTGGCTGTGTTACCTTGGATGGGTGGGCCGTATACTAGATTGGACTGACGTCGTCTGCCCAAGGTGTCAAGCCGATGCTTCGTTTCTCTCCAAGTTGGTTACTCACAGCAAATCTACTGCATTACAGAGCTTCTGCCTGTTGTGGCATTACATCGCTGGGGACCAGGTGATGCACGCTGTGGCTTTTGAGTCTTGACTGCGCCTCCACAACCCGCTTCTTAAGCTCGTCGCAAATGATGCAACATAGTTTGCCAAGACGCCCAAACAGGAATTGACAAGCCGGTGGCACATGGCTTAATATACGCTTGGTCCAAAAGCTTCACGTAGCACGGAAGTTAACTGGGGGCGAGGAGCGCATGATGGCATAATCACGGTCGCCGCGTTCGCCACCAGTATGATGAAAAATGTCCCGCCAAATCTTGCAGACATTGATCATCATGTCCCCCTTGCAACCTGACGACAATAGCATCATGGCGTGAGAAGCGTCGGCCGCACCTCGTCAAACATGTCGCAGATTTTGAAGCGGCCGCTTGCCCCTGCCATTAGGGTCGACGTCTCGGCCATTCAGCATAACCACGGAGGTACTGACTCTGAAATTCCCACATCAATCGCAACTATTCATTAAGTGTTTCTAAAGATAATCCATCCACATTACAACCCGGGTCGAACGCCACGTCTAATACTCTCGACGTCCCTACCCCAACGCCGACAAGTAGCCCTCAGAGCTCGTCCAAGCCCACGATTTCTGACGGCGATTCTAGTAACAGACGTACAGGGGATAATTTGAGCCCTTTAAATGATATAAACAAGTCCAGTCCCTCGGTTCTGTGGCCTGATCCAGGTGAAGAAGCATTATTCAATATCGAAAACAACCCATTCGCCTTCTGCCCCGGCCAGTTGGCGAAGCTTATAAATCCAAAAAGTCTCGCCGCTTTCGTAGCCCTAGGAGGACTCTCCGGACTTGAAAAGGGCCTCCAGAGCCACCGCCGAGCCGGCCTGAGCGTCGACGAGCGACATGTTTCCTGCCCGATCACATTTGACCAGGCAACGTCGACTCTCCCACCCCATGGCTCACCCAAGCACAGCCAGCATGATCAGAATCCACTGCCTGTTCCACCAAAAGATGGACCAGATGGCGCCTTTGCCGACAGGAAGCGAGTCTTTGGCGAAAACCGGCTACCAGAGCGAAAGTCAAAGTCGTTTCTTCAGCTGGCCTGGATTGCGCTGCAAGACAGAGTGCTCATACTTCTCTGCATCGCGGCCGTCATCTCTCTCGCTCTTGGGCTATACCAAACATTTGGCCATACGGAGCACCAAGGTGCCAAGGTCGAGTGGGTTGAAGGAGTGGCCATCATTGTCGCCATTGCCATTGTCGTCGTGGCCGGCGCGCTCAACGATTGGCAGAAGGAGCGGCAATTTCGAAAACTCAACGTGAAGAAGGAGGATCGCCTTGTCAAGGTAATCCGCTCCGGCAGCCCCATGACCATCTCTGTTCATGACGTGCTTGTCGGCGACGTCATGCTCCTGGAACCAGGCGATGTCGTTCCCGTGGACGGTATCTTCATCGACGGCCACAGTCTGAGTTGTGATGAGTCCCCGGCCACGGGGGAATCAGACTTGGTCAAGAAGGTTCCAGCGGAGGATGTTTTGCAGGCTCTCCGTGAAGAAGCTCCAGATACCAAAAAATTGGATCCGTTTGTGATTTCTGGCTCCAAGGTTTTGGACGGAGTTGGCTCGTTCCTCATCACATCCGTGGGACCGAATTCGAGTCATGGCCGGACCATGATGTCGCTGCAAGGAGACTCCGGACTCACGCCTTTACAGTCCAAGCTCAATGTACTTGCCGGTAAGCATCCATTGTCCACGCCTGAAGAACGTGCCGCAATCTTGGGAATAAACCGGCTCATGCCGCTTCTTAGGGTACATTGCGAAGCTCGGCGGCGGAGCAGGCTGTTTGCTCTTCCTCGTGCTCCTTGTCGAGTTCCTAGCTAGATTACCTAGCAACCAGCAGTCTTCGGAGCAAAAGGGACAAGACTTCCTCCAGATCCTCATCATGTCCATTACCATTATCGTAGTTGCGGTCCCCGAGGGCTTGCCGCTGGCGGTGACACTGTCGTTGGCGTTTGCCACGAAGCGCATGACCAGGGATAACAACCTCGTTCGCCATCTTCAATCGTGCGAAACAATGGGCAATGCCACCGTCATTTGCTCAGACAAGACGGGCACGTTGACGGAAAACGCAATGACCGTGGTCTCGGGAGCCCTCGGCGGTCGAGAGGGATTGGCCTTTGGTGATGGTAACCCGGTGCCCGAACCAGCCGGTGACGCTGCAACGCAAACAAAAGAGCAAGGCAAAGGACCACAAGTTGCGAGCCAGCAGCGGACCTTGATCCCTTTGGAACAGCTGTCGTCGAGGCTTGACGCCGAGTTTCGACACCTCTTGAAGACGGCTGTGGCTGCCAACACGACCGCTTTCGAGCGCGAGGAGAAGGGTAAAATGGTGTTTGTTGGGACGAAGACAGAGACAGCGCTGCTCGATTGGGTTCGCCAGTGTTTTGGACTGGGACCAATTCTTACCGAGCGTGCCAATTGCCAACTTGAGCAGCTCTTCCCTTTCAACTCGCGGCGTAAATGTATGGGAGCCGTCATCCGGCTGCCGGAAACCGGAAACCACAAGGACACGGCCGCATATCGACTTTTTGTAAAAGGCGCGCCTGAAGTTGTGTTGGCGAAGTGTAGTGGCGTGATGGACGACTGGTCCAAAGTTGCATCTCGGGCGCCGCTCTTGCAGGATCAAAAGGATGCTATTCGAAGCGTGATAGTCGGCTTTGCAGCGCAGTCGCTGCGGACTCTGGCTCTCGCGTACCGTGACCTCGAGCAGTGGCCCCCTCCCAGACCTCAGACAGATGACATGGCCGCTGGCAGTGGCGATATAACCCTGGAGGATGTGCTCCAGGACATGGTCTGGATTAGCGTGGTCGGGATTCGCGACCCCGTGAGACAAGGAGTTCCTGCTGCAGTCCAAGACTGTCGAACGGCATCAGTCTCAGTCAAGATGGTGACGGGCGATAATGTCGAAACAGCAAGAGCAGTCGGCAGAGAATGTGGCATCTTGACGACGCGGCCACCAGAGCAAGGGTTGGTCATGGAAGGCCAACAGTTTCGCCAATTACCTCACGACCAGAAAGTAACCGCGGCCAAGGATCTCCGTGTCCTCGCCCGGTCTAGCCCAGAAGATAAACGCACTCTGGTCAAGCTGCTACGAGACCTAGGCGAGATTGTCGCCGTAACAGGAGACGGGACCAACGACGCGCCGGCCCTAAAAGCCGCCGACGTTGGGTTTGCCATGGGCATGACGGGGACCGAAGTGGCCAAGGAGGCTTCGGATATCATTTTGATGGATGACAACTTTACGTCCATCGTCAAGGCTCTTGGCTGGGGGCGCGCAATCAACGACTCGGTCAAGAAATTCCTACAGTTCCAACTCACTGTCAACATCACAGCGGTCCTCGTCACCTTTGTCTCGGCCGTATCCGACGGCAACGAGACGTCGGTCCTCAACGCCGTGCAGCTGCTCTGGGTGAACCTCATCATGGACACCTTTGCCGCCCTTGCCCTTGCGACCGACCCGCCGGCAGGAAGTATTCTTCGCCGCAGGCCTGAGCCGCGGCGCGCCTCTCTCATCACCCTGACCATGTGGAAGATGATTATTGGCCAGTCCGTCTACCAGCTGGTTGTCTGTTTCGTGCTGTGGTTTGCCGGCCCTGGTTTCCTAGGCTATCCCGAGGCTCAGCTACGGACGCTGATATTCAACGTCTTCGTGTTTATGCAGATCTTCAAGCTGATCAATAGCCGGCGCATTGATAACCAGCTCAACATATTCGAGGGCCTGCACCACAATTGGCTGTTCATGGTGATGATGTCCGTCATGGTGGCGGGCCAGTTGGTCATCATCTACGTGGGCGGTGCGGCATTTGTCGTCGTCCGGCTGACCGGGGAGCAATGGGCCATCTCGGTTGGCCTCGGTTTCGGCTCCATCCCTGTGGGTATTTTGATACGGCTGTTTCCTGATGCCATTTTACGGAGCTGTGGCGACAGGATGAGGGAGAATTGGCCACGGTGGTTACGTGTGCCGCCGAAGAGGAAGGGAAACGATAGAATAGCGCCATCTCCCAGACCGGTGGGATACAACTCCGTCTTTGCAGGTATCAGGGATGACCTCGACTTCCTGCGCAAGGTCAGGGGCGGTCGCATCCGCGCCTTTAGTGAGGCATTGGGGGTGCCTCATGCGGTCAAGTCATCACATCATCAGCGAAGAAAGCTCCATCCTGGCACTAAGCCCGAAGATGGGAGTAACTCGGTGGTTTCTTCAAAGTTGCAGCCGGTTTCGCCCATGTTTTCGGCTGTTGGAATGCCTGGTATCGTAGCTGCCAGTGTTGGTGGTCTATTGCCGATGGAACCTAGTTCGACTAGCCAGCAGCGGGACTGCTCAGGTGGAAATGAGCCATCAATGAGGTGAATGGTTTCTTTCTTAATCCAGTTCATGAGGCGGAAGAACCAGGATGTGTTGAGACTGCCATGTTGCCGAGACGAGGACGGGAGAGGCCGATTTGGATGCTGATGGTGAGATGAGAATGAGGCGGCGAGTAATGCCGCGAGAATATTGAGGATGGTGAGAACGAGGTACAGAATACGATCTCATTGGGCAACAGGTCAAGTGCCTAGTTCTAGTCCTGTTCCTACATGTAAACATCAATTGATATTATATATAATCCCCCCCGCTAAATGTAACGGCCAATGGGGTTCTATTCAGGATTAGCATCACGTTAGTTGACTCAATTAGTTATTTTAAAATAGTGCTAAAACGTATCAGCTATATTATTAAGTACTTACTATTATTATACGTCACATCACGGATTTTATTTATACTCATTATTCTACTAGTAGCGCTCCGTATTCGGCATTTCGGTCTTGGAGTTTAATAACCAGTATTCCACTCACCCATCACGCTGTAATATAGACCCGTTCCTATCGCTTGACATGTGTATCACGAAGGTACTGGTGACATGAGCGCTGTGGGTTATAGTATCGCGACCACCTCGAGATGGCAGCTAGCTTTAGTTTGCGTGTCTGCTTACTGGCCAGGAATTCTTCATCACAGAGCAGACAGACATACATTGTGACAAGGGCTTGGAGCAGTAATGACTGAATTCTATAAAAATCTCGTAGAATGTCAAACGTCCCTTCTTTTCCTTTTCCAAGAGGAAAAGAAGGCACGAGTGACAACTATATATAAATGAAAAGAAAGTTTGTGCCTAGTGTTCCTCGGGTCGTGTGTTCAGTCTGTAACCTCAAGGTCCTTTATCGGCGATGCCCCTTTGTCGGGCTTTGTTGCTGTTGGGTCCTAACCGTACAACAGACATCTCCTCCAAACGATTGGCTTTATATTCCTCCAGCCAATTTCCGGCTCCCTTCTAGAGCTGAATAGACAAAATAAAGGTAGACAGGTCCTTTGGTCCGAAACGCTACTCTGATGTAGCGCCCTCACGTTAGAGCATCTGGATATCTTTCATGCTCGTTTGTCCATTTACATGTCTAGGCATCCTTCAGTACGAGGTATTTTTTGATCTCCTGGGGAGATATGTGTCGCAGTAGAGCTCTTGCATATACTGCCGCCGACATGGCAGCATAGGGCTGCCACTGCTCATTCTCGTGGGTGTCGCAATAGTCGCATAAGTCGTAGATGCCTCGTATCAGCATGACCGGGAAGCCTTCCGCCATTTCGGAAACTTCCATTAGTTTGGCAGCTTGCATTTCGAAACAGACGACATTTTCTCTATCCGCCAACGCCTTTCGGCCTTCGGCACTCATCAGCATGGTGGTGCCAGAAGCGATGAAGCCGCGGTGTACGGCTGGGCCATCATTGTCTGAGCTCGAATCCGGCCGCGAGTAGTAGCCGCGCCATCGTGGACTCTTGGTGCTCAGAATAGAGTCCATATCATGTCCGAGCGTGGAGCCATGAATCTCATAGTTTACCGATAGTTCAAATGCGGCACGACGCAGGAGCATGGGTGCCATATACTCGGGCCTCGCCGGTTGTAAAACTCCATCCATACCCAACCCTAACACACCGGGAGCGCCGGCGGCAACATCCCCAAGTCGAATGTTTTGACCTTCTGCCGGCACGGCGCCGGCAATGCTGACAGATAAACAAAGCTTGACCCCAGGAAAATTTTCGCGCATCATGGCTGCAAGGTTTGCATTTGAAGTCTGCCGATTCTCTCTTATACCAGAGCAGCCTATCACAATATAATGTCCGTTGATCTCACCGAACGAGTAGAAGTGATCGCCGCTGGGGATCCGCGGCACAGGCTTGTGTTTTGCGTCAAGGCAAGCTTCTGCGGTAGCAAGGCCTTCTGGCGAAGCGCAAATCCATGCTACGGTGTAATCCTTGCGGTCGAGTGAAAGGCACGTCTCCGTAGATCCGGGAGGCGGTGAATCGGAGCCGGCCGCGTCTTGGCTCGGCGCCGGATTGTCCGGAACCTTGTCCTCTTCGTCACTCATTTCGGCGCCATCCTCACCGTCAAAACATCTCATGCTGAGCAGAGGCCACAGGCCGAGTTGGACTTGATGACGACCAATATGTTTCATGAGCTGTATGGGATCTTGTGTCTCGTCATGGCACATTGGGCACCACATCGATGTCTCCGTCTCCATGTCCGGCAGTTGCGCCCCGTGCTCCTCGGCTTGGGCGATATCCTTCAACTCGTGCGCGACGCGCAAATGTGCTTCAAAATCTGTCTCGGAGTCAAACTGCTCTGAGCAGCCCTGGATGCAGATCCACATCTGATGGAAAGAACGCTCGTGGTAATACCATGTGGCGAGACTGTGAAATAGTCGGTCCGGTTCTTTGCAATCGGTGTGTAGGCACACGTAGGGGAGCATATCAGAGAATACATGTCTCCTGGATTTGTCTATTAGTATGTTGTCTCTTGGCTGAAGCCTCGTCCCAGGGTTCGACTTGTGCGACTTACTCCCATTCTTCTCGATTCTTTGCCACTATCATTGAGAAGCAGCATGGACATTGGAAAGGCTTCCCCTTCTGGCCCGCGGGCGGCATGGGTGGCACTCGGATTGACATGTAAGAGGATGAGTTCGGGATGTCGGACGCGGTCTCATCGTCGGCGCAACCAAATATTCTATTTTCGTCTCCCTCTTCATCCTGCGGAGATGGCGATTCTTTTGCTAATTCCTCCTTGTGCTCCTGGGCGTAGCGCAGAACCCTTCTGCGGCTCAGTACTCCCTGTAGTAGCTTATTTCGGAGTACCGGGTCTGCTTTTGGGAACAGCTTCTCAATGTGACTTTTGTCGATTGGGATGAAATGGTCAACGTTGACATATTTCGCCTTCTCGTACCTATCGACCGAAGCTGGCATCCGAATGAGGATGGACATGCTTTCCAGATCGTTAATAGCCTCTTGCATTTGCATTAACTTCTTGTCTACCAAACTGCCCAGCGCCTCGTTTTGTTTTGATGAATTGTTGGCGTCCGGGCTTTGCTTGCTGTCCTTTCCTATGTGTGTCTGTCAGCTTCAGCGCCTCCAGCCCTGGTAATGTCGAGGAAAGCCGTCTGCCCTCCCAAGGAACTAGCCAGTAGCCATAGCTGCTAGTTGGACATGCATATGTATCCCATCCTCGAAACGGAGTCAACTTACCATATCCGAGTGCCCTCTCCAAATCGCCGAGAAACTCCAAGATGATGCATCGAGTGTCTGGGGTATCGCGCATGCGCTCGTCAAGGGAGGGTGTGCCCGCTCGGCCAGCGGTATAGTTGGTATACCATGCCTGAAAGCGCTTGTACGCATCTTGTATGTCGGGATACTCGGCCGGTGCCTGCTTGAACAACTCGGAGCAAGACAGGAACTTGTCCCGTATCGTGGGGTCCATCGCGTGGCCTTTTGTGGCGGGGGTTCGGTATAGGAAGCTTGTAGGGAAGACTCGGTTTTCAAAGATGATGTCGAAGGGTGAAGGTCCATGGTTCTTCAACAGGAAGGAAGGGGCGAGCGACCACTATATATAGATAAAGGAAGCGTCTGTGCCCACTGCGTAGGACTTCTGCCCGGCCATGTGTTCAGTCTCTGTAACATCTAGGTCTCTTTATCGGTGAAGGCCCTTTATTTGGCTTTGTTGTTGGGCCATTGCCGTGAAACCCCAGGCTCAACAATGACCATGTCAGTGCGGAGGCTCATCCCGCTGGCTGTACGCCTGAATGCAGCATTGATGGATGCGGCCAGACTGCAGGTGGCTTCGAATGTCACTGAACAACGGGTTGAAAGGCCTTTGGATTCTGTGTTTCACATGCCGTCGGAGAGAAAGTGTGCCACACGGACTGTCATGGGCCAACAAAGGGGCTTCACCGACAAAGAAACCTTGAGGTTACATAAACTGAACACATGACCGGGCAGGAGCCCTAGACGCAGGCGTTCCTTTCATGTACATATACTGTTCAGTGGTCACTGATCCCCCTTCCTCTTACAAAACCAAGAACCCGCGACGGACATGGCCTCGGAACCGAGTTCACGCTGTGATATCCCACGCACCGGCCGCAATGGACCCTTGGTTGGCCCAACTTGAGAGCGTGACCTTCATGGCCATCACTCACCGGTTTACAACGGCCATGCCTAAGAGCTTAAGTGACAGCTCACAATTCTTGACTGCTTGTTGGGCATCCAGGGCGCAGAGACAATCGTGAATCGCCAAGAATGCCATGCAGCGGCTTCTGGACACGGACCACCTCTTTGACAGCATGGAGTGATTCACTGCTGAGAGTCTGCAGGAGGCGAAGCCAGGGGCACATGGATGGTTCATGTGTACAATGACTGTGTCGAGCGAGTACTTGACGGAGTGAGCGCACTGGCAGCCCTGACCTGTCCAGACTACAGCACGGTATGAATCCAGTCTCTCCACATGATCGGGAGACGACATGTGCATCTTACCCTGGCCTCTCGATCCATCCAACCAGCTGCATGTGGTTCATCACCTTCACATGGCAAGGGGAGTATCGACTTCATTTACCTACCCGAGTACCTTCTGCTGATACTACGATCTTGCCAGTAGATAAGACCGAAACATATGACATTCTGCATCTATTCACGGCTTTTGAATGGACCGAACATAAATATGATCGTATTAGATTCATGCTTGCAGTCTTGGACGTGGACAATTCCGTCGAGAAGCAGCAATGAGATCAAGATCCACCGGCGACCGCGATGCCAACCAAAATCGCACTTCCATCCAAATTGATAAAGGCGGACGCCTTGGGAAGAAATTCAACAGATTCGATGAAAAACGAACCAAGTTATCTCTTGCGGCCTCTGTTCTGGGGCCAAGTGGTGGACTAGAAGTTTTCGATCATATGGCACAACCACGCCGGTACTTGTGCCTGGAAGTGCGTAAAGATGAGTTCAGATGTAACTTTATATTTCAGCGTTATCACACTGACCCCTCAACGATCTTGAGCCCAATGATCCTATATAACGGACTCCCTATGCTGTTCACTTCAAATGGCTGGCTGCCCAGGGCTGGATGCTCGGCTGCCGAGGCAGACGAACTTGACCCTTTTGCAAAGTCCCACCAAGACACCAGGATGTAAGCCTCGTCTGTATTGATCATGTTGCCAGCGTCGCGAAATACTGAGACATCAGGATGTTTATGGAGGATTCAAGGTAAAGCATATATATCGGCAGACACTCGAGCTTTATAAGTACACGCCAGGCACGGACTATTCAGTTAAAGCAGGAGTAATACTTGAAGCTTACTTAAGAGGCGATATAGGGACTACGTGTTTCAGCCGTAAAAGATACTCAGCGATTTCGGAGGCTAAATTTGAGCCGGTCCCAAGGGAGGAACGTCCATATACTAAATTTGATTCAAGCTACCTAACCACGACTTGAGGTGTATATATTTGGTTGTTGAAACATGTATATCGAAAGGCTATCAAGACTCTATCGGCTGATAAGTTTCATCCCATTCGACTCGTTACCCCCCTACATGAAAGCAGAGTCAAGTCAATCTCCTTCACACAATAGCGTCTGCACAGCAACTAGTTGGACTACAGAAAACGATTGGACTAAAAAGGCTCTAATGTCTATTTTCTCTAATTCGGCATCTCTATAAGCTACTTCCATATCCAGCCATCGCAAGAGTTGACCTGTCCGCACATCGCGTCGCGAGCCTAGTAGCCCCGTTCCTCCAACTAGATCCCAGGCGTCATTCCACCAACACCCAGGCACTCTACAGAAACAAACCTTATCGTCCTGCCGCATTCCCCAAAAGCTCCTTCAGCCCCGTAACATCTCTCGGCTCAAAAAGCAGCCCAGAGTGCTTCGGCGCCATAGCCTGGTGCGCAGCATCAAAGCACCCCGTGATAGGATCAGCATCGACCTCCGTACTCGCGCCAATCTTGAAGCTAGCAATGATGCGCAGCAGCACAATGTAAATCTCCCTATTGGCAAGCGTGTACCCCGCACACATGCGGTATCCCAGGCCGTAGCTGAAAATGGGAAGATCGGGATTCTCCAGCCACCGCTCGGGGCGGAAGTTGAACGGGTCGCCGTATACCTTGGCATCTAGGGGACGTAAGCTCACGACTTTTCATCTCGGACACGGACGCACTACTGACCTCTGTTGCAAGCATACGTGTTCAGGATGACGGTGTCTCCCTCGGATATCGTCCTGCCCTCGTGCTGGATGTCCTGGACAGCTAAGCGAGGGAGGGCGAGTCGCGACGGCGTGTAATATCTAGGCTAGGTTAGCAGGCTACAATGAAGCACATAATACCATGACAGTCGCACCTTAGACACTCGCGGACCAGGGCCGATATGTATTGCACCTCTTCCGTGTCCTTGTACACAGAGTCGAAGAGCTGCTTGTTGTCGGGGTAGACTTCGCGGATCGCCTTGTAAGCAGTTTCCTGGATTTCCGGCCGGGCAGCGAGAAGCGTAAGACTCCAGTGCATGGTGTTGCTGGCCGTGGCTAGCCCGCCGGACAAGAAGGTAAGAAGCACGGTGGAGAGCTCCTTTGTCGGGAGGGGATGCGGGCTGTCAAAGTTTTTGGTGTAGAGGCACTCCTCGTGGCTGCCTTCCTTCATCTTCTCCTCAATCTCGCGGTTCAGCCGGCCGACGTATTCGTCTCTGCGCTCACGGAGCCCGGTAGCGCTCTGGTGATATGTGTTGAAGGGCCACACTCGGAAGAGGGATATGTAGTCCTGGAGGTTGTCCGTCATGCTTCGCAGGCGGAGGATCTGGTCCTCGATGTAGATGATCTCCTGGGTGAGGGGGTCGCCGAGGTACATTCGTCGGCCGTAGCAGATGCCCAGGGACAGACTGAGTGTAAGTCTCTTGATGACTTTGGACACTTCAACCGGGCTGTGTCCCTCGCACCCGTAGCAGTTGAGCTCGTCCACCAGATGCCGCGTCTCTAGATCAATCTTGTCCAGGTTGGCCTTGACGGCGGGCTTGCTGAGTTCCGCGGCCGTCGCCTTGCGGCCTCTTTTCAGGGCATCTCCGTACCCGGCAGTTCCAATAGTAGGTCCGAGGGTTCCAGCAATGAGCTAGTTTCTCTGTTGTTAGTTGGGGGTGTTGGTTGGGGCGGGACGACGACAGGCACCGTACCTGGTGGAATGTATGGAATATAGGGCGCGATGACAAGGCTGCTGCGCTGCCAGTGAAGATGCTCTTGGCCGCTGCGGCTGTGTTGACAACAATCACTGGCAGGTTTCCAAACTGCACTTCGATAACGTCGCCGTATACGGCTGACCATTCGAGGAATTGCCTTTCCGCATGTTGACGATAGATAGACGGCAGGTTGCCGATGATTGGCCAGACGGGAGGACCAGGGAATTTCCGTAGCGCCGACTGTCTTATCCACAGGATATAGAATGCCGCCGAGCCTATCAGCAGAAAAAGTACGAGTCGTGAGGGAGACAAGTCTATGGAGGGGGTGTTGTGTAATTGGGTTGCAAACTTGGCAACGGATGCGGAAATCAGCCCAGCTCCGTCAGAAAGCCCCATGGTTACAGCTTTTGCAAATGATGGCTAGGAGAATGATGGAAAAAAGGCACGCTGAGACGTGAGGTTTTCCTGGCTCAAGTAACCTGAACCGCATCAAGGACCAACAGGTTTTATAAACGTTGTCTGAACCTCAAGTGATGGCCGGCTGAAAAAAAAAAGGGACTACATATCCAGCGTTGCATTCATCCCACGCGTCCGAATTTCAAGCAGAGTAGTATTGCATATTGACGGCCATCCATGAGAACACCTACAGCAAGTGCTCGTTTGCATGGTTCCCCCACCAAGGTAGCATCACGGCATCACACTGAACCCGCATGGTTAAGCGTAATGCGAAGCGCAGGTTGCACCATGACAGGCAGCTATGCCGCACGAGGGCATTGGCGAGAGACTGCCTTTGGGCAATTACACACGAGAACATGAATCAGTTTGTGCCAAAAGCGGAGCTGGTTCATGCATGAAAGTTGGTCAAAACCGTCTGACCGATTGATGCCAAGGTCTTTCGGTTCAGCAGGGATATCCCCCATCGGAAGAGAGCCGATGGACCAGTCCCTCGAGTCGGGCGTTCAGCAAAGGTGCTACGCGTGCAAACAATCCATGGAACAATCGTGCTGACCCTAGGCTTGCTAATAAATAGCCGCCAATTTATCCGTGGTTGCGCAGGGGGCCTCGTTTCACAACGTGTAAGAACCTATTATAGCCCCGACCAGAATGCGAGGCAGTCGGCGCGCTGCTGCTCGTCGGCCTCGTCGTCAGGACTAGCCTAGGAGCCCTTACGCCAGGCAGCAGAACTTGAGAGTTCATCTCGACAGTGACGTAGCTGATGCGGCCGAAACTAGGTGCGAGTTTAACTTTGTGAACCTGACTCGACGGGCCACA